GTTCGTGGTACTTGGTTAAAACTGCTACTGAACCAAGAGTTCAAGGTCACGTTGAGCATGTTTGAACTTGTTCCGTTCCTCAGGGAGATTAGACTTCCTTTTGTGCTATTGGATCCCAACTTCAACTGTCTTTGCAGTGACTCATTTCCACTATCGGACGCTATCGAAAAACTCCGTGGCTTCAAAGACTTATTTCTCGATAAAGTTTTTTTCTTTTGGACAGCTTCAAAGTTTCCTTGCTGATTTTGATCTTCATAATTCCGTTTTTTAGTAACCAAGCTTTGAGATTTAGACAAAGTAACTTTTGCTGCCGTTACCATTTTTTCGTCAGTGGCCTTGCGCAAAACTTCTTCGGAGTAATTGGGAAGTTTTTCCAGCTTTTTTTCACTTCCATCAATGCTTAAATGTTCATTTTGTAATCCGTGTTGGAGAACTTTTGTCAAATTTTTGCAACATTCTTCGGGTTTGTGAAACATGGTTTTGCTTTTGCTCGTTGAAGACGTAGATGTGCTCTGATTTTCTTCATTTTCATCATCCACCGAACTTTTATTTTCTTGATTATTTCGGTTTTCTCCAGTTTTGATGGCTGATTTGAACTTCTTCATTTTTGTGCTTTTAACGGGCATAATATTAGTGAAGTTCGAATACTGGCTCGAAGTCTGGGATGTTTTCCTGGCCTTTTTTGATTGGCTTCTAGAGGTTGCCGGCTGCCAACTTCTGGAACGATATCGGCTAAATTTACTCTTTGAACTAGCCTTGGACATATCTTCGGCTAACTAAATGAGTAAGAGAATGAAAGATTTTGTTAAGGTTTTACCATCACTCGTAGAAACCATCTTCAAATAATTTAACTTGGCGAACTTTTTTTATTGCTTCAAAACAAATAAATTCATTTCTAAGATATATTCGTAAGTTTTTCTTTGTTTCTATTTGATTCGACGCAATTCGAAGCCAAAATTCCGCCAACGTTTTTCGCACGTTTTTAATATTTTTTGTTTAAAAAAACGGCGGTAACTTCAAAAATATGTTTAAACTTCGTTCTTAAGTGTCATCATGTTCATATTCGAGAGCCCGTCCATAGAGCCCGTCGATTGAGCCAAAACAACTTAATGTTCCGGCCTTCGAAGAAAACGGAATACTATGCTCGGTGTGGTTTTATTTTATTCATTCAATTTTCGCCGATCGAATAATAGTTTTCGACAAAATTTATTATACCCCATTTTTTGTAAAGTGGGGGTTTGAAAAATTGCCAAGTTGGCCATGTTCTGGACTAAATTATAGGGTTTCAATATTTTCTCTTACCAAAACCTACTGCTTTGCCCTGATATTCGAGCAGTCTTGTTTGAAATTAGTACGAAACAGAACTTCACTTCTCTGTATGGCAAAACCCCTAAGTAAATAAGTTTAACAGTCTAGCTTAGATAAATAAAAAACGTTCACTGCTCGGTGTGACGGAACAGCCTAGACAAAGTTTGATTTGAAAAACCTCAACCGGTTTTCAGAGTAAAGCCACTATCAGATATACAAACAATTTTAAAAATTTTTCTTTAAAAATAATCTATTGAATCTTTTCGAAACTTTGTAGGAAAGTTACGGGTACCTTTCCAGGAAAACTAGATATGTAAAAGTTTCAAACTAGTAAAGATTTTCGTATTCAGATATCACAGAAAGGCACGTAAAAAGTGTATCATTGTGATACCTTTTCCGTCACAATTTATATTGTATTGGAAAAAGCAAAAAAAACATGTTTAAAGCTAAGAAACGCTTACTCTTTCTTTATGGTTGCCAATAATGTATCCTTTTGAACAAATTTTTTTTTGGATTGCGATTAGCAAGCAGTGTCAAATCGAAACATTGAGCTTTTACAAATTGCCTAACAAAATCACTGAGTAGGTTTGAACCAAATTTTTATTGATAACAAGGACACATATAAAAAACCCGTTGTATCCAAAAAATGTGAGTTGCGGCTTAAAGCTTCTTAACTTCGAGCTTCTACATTTTTGAAGCTCAAATAAACTATCTATTTTTGGCAAAACGGCCGTCTCCCTAGTTTGAAAGCTTTAACTGCAGATTCATAGTTTCTGTTTTAGTGCTAATTAGATTGTCGATCAGTTATCTGACAAATTGATATATTTCTTTTTCTCGCTAATTTACGTTCAACATTTTTTGTTTTATCTGTTCATATCAGCCGGCAAATATTGATTTTACACATATGCACAACAAAATCTTGATATGAACAGGTTGTTATGAGCGCGCAGCGCAAAAAATTCTGGCCAAAAACTTAAAAAATATATTATAGAGGTTTTTTCTAAAATTTCTATAATAAAGTATAAAAAAAGAGTTAGAGAAAAAGCATCGCTTATTTTAGCTTGATAAAAAACTATAGTTCTTAACTGTTTTAAGCAAATTTTATCTAGAGGGGAAACGGGGCTTTGTACCCTTTGCAAAACATCATAACCTCAATATGACTATCTAGCAGATATCAAAACGAATCAAAACCACTAAGCTTAAAGAATTGTTGCAAAAAAAACCCCAAAAATGCCAAAAATGTCACAAGTTTTTCTCCATTTGTCAGACAATTGATCAACAATTGACCGGAAATTTTTGAGACCAGAATTTTAAATTAACAAAGACTGCAAATTTTTTTTAAAAATGAATAAACATAATCAGCGCGTTACGCCTGTGTTCATGGCAATTTTATGTTCGTGTTCGTGTTCATGGAACAGCGAACAGAAAACGAATAGTTCAGGTACTTTCTAAATCTTAACCAAAATCCGCATAAATGCATTAAACGTGAATCCAATTTATTTTAAATCCAAAAAAAAATTTTGTTGACAACTGGATGATCAAAAATTTTTCACTTTGCTTATTCTTCAAAATGTTTACTTTCTAAGTAGTGATGGGCCAAATTTGATTTGATGATTCGTGAATTGAAGTTGTCGGAAATCAATAAACTTGAAAATCGTTCTTGAAAACCATAATTCTCAGTTGGCAATTCTGCAACTTGTAGAGCATAATTTTTCAATTTCAGATCCCACAAAATCGTGGAGTGAAATTTATTGCAATATGTTTCAAAAATCATATATGCGATGATTTTCAGAAGCAACTTTTTGGGGAACGGTGGTAAAGTGGTTACGTATCCGCTTCTCATTCGACAGGTCGGATGCTCGAGGCCCATCATGATCCGTGCGCGCAGCCCAGAAAAATAGCCAAAAAAATAATGCATGCAACTCTTAAACTGGAGTGTAACAGCGGTTCTCCGCTTGTATTTTGGTCTTTTTACTTTGGACGAATCGTGCAAATAAGCAATTTTGTCCAAGAGCAGTGAGAACCGAATTAAACATGTCGCTCGATCACGAGACCAAGTTGAATAGTGCTATTGAGTATTTTGTATACAAGCTAGTTTAGTTTTTTTTCGTATTGAGACCTACAACTGTGAAAAAAAGGTAATTAGGTCCCTTAAGGACAGTCAAAAGGCAATGATTACATAATTTTGTTTTCTTCTTACATTATTTCTCTAGGCAGTTAGCGGTGGCGAAATCCTTGAAATGAAATTGCAGATGCAAAGTCTCTTCGAATTAACCAATCAGATTTGAATTGTTCTAGACTTATACCAAAGTCTAGAACAAGTACTTCTAACGTCAGAGTAGCGTGCCGAGGCGGGAGACGAGGGGGCGATCGCCCATCCCCGCCCCTCAATTCTAGTTACCCAACTTTTTTAAAGGGTCTCCCCCATTTGGTATAAGTTTACCTTAACCATTTTTGGCTGTATAACCTCAAAATTTTTCTAAAGGCGCCTTTGTCGCCATTATAACTAAATTTGAAGAAGCGCGCGACAAAAAAAATCATTTTTCGGTCAATTTTTTAAAGATTTTCCGGCGCAGAAAGTTATGACAAAATAGGATCCTTATAGTCTTATCAGAGAGCTCGAAAAAAAATTGATCAACTTAAAACAAAACAAAGTCGACAAAAACTTCTGCGCACGCCGCTGATAACATCAGAAATCTAAAATTTAGTTACTGTTTCTAAAATGAGACCTCAGATTTTTTCTTTGTTTTATGCAGTGTTTTCGTAAAAATGAATACAGTAAATATCACAAAAAACAGATATCCCCCCCCAATCCGCCCAACATTTAAATACTTACTCATAATACTTAAAAATGTAGGGCAAATTTCAAAACAAGTTAGGGGGAGGATGATAACTTGATTCAATACGTGTCATGACACGAAATTGACTAAAATGCGAGTCTACATTGAAAACTGTAAGAAATTTACCTAAAAGCATACTCCCGTCTCAACTATTCAATTCAAATCTTAACTTTTTTGCTTTTTCTATTTATATCGATGAAGAGTTGACTCTTTTTGCAGTTTGGCCATTGAAACCGCTCAAAAAACTTTAAAATATTCTCATTGTTATGCATATTGGCAGTTTCCTGATATTTAAAATGGCAGGTTTTCAGGGGCGGATTTAGGGGGGGGGGGGGGGGGGGGGACCATTTTTTGCCGATCGACCCTAAAATTTTTCTAAAGGCGCCTTTGGCGCCAATATATACTAACTTTGAGGGGGAGCGCGCGCTAAAAAAACGCAATTTTTTTTGTCCAATTTTTTGAAAAGTGCCCAAAAACGGCTTTTTTGACTGTGTTTTCAAAAATTTTTGACTGTGTTTTCAAAAATTTGACAAAATAGGGGCAAAACAGTTCTTTGGGAGAGCTCGAAAAATCAATTTGGTCGACCTAAAAAAAAGGTCGTCAAAATTTTCAAATTGTTTTTGAAAATACGCCCCCCCCCCCCCCCCCCCCCCCCTCGAGAAAATCCTAGATCCGCCCCTGCAGGTTTTCTTGACCTATTTGTTTTTTCTAGCCATTTTACGACTGTGAACTAGGTATAATATAGCGATGAACGGGATATTTTTTAATGTTGTATTAAAAGCAATTTAGCAAGTTCATTCTCTAAACATTCTACAACATCAAAAATGAAAATTAACAATATTAAAAACACGTTTTTGCACATTGAGCATAGAAATGGAATTGAGCAGGTAAGTTTATTAAAAGTTTCAGTTTTCTAAATAAAAGACATTTAAAACACTAAAAGCAGTTTTCTGAGAGTATTTACGACAATTGGCAGCAATAACAGAACCCATTTTGATGCACTGAGCGTAGTTGACCTTCCACAGTGCTTTGAGTCTTCCTAAAACAAAAAATAAATCGTTTTCAGGCTATTAAAAAGAGTGAGTTTGATTTTAAAAAAATCAGGCATATTGCTACGATTGCTATTCTAGACATAACAACAAAGCTTGTAGCAGGCAAAGTCTTGAATACCCCGATTCGACCTCAGGGGTTCGACCCTCTGCCGACATAAAATGTTCCCCTTTGGTACTCTTTTAAGGCATCCAGTTTTGACACCCTAATCCAGTTTTTGCTGACCGATCTTTTTTTAGTCTTTTTTCTTTTGCTTCATAGTTTTTCTTAGTCGGTTTTTTTAAAAATCGCCTGCATCGCCCACAGTTTAGTCAAAACAGTGTATTCATATTGTCATATTGATCTCTCAAAAAATCAATTTGATTGACCTAAAAAAATTTTCGACAAATTTTTCTATTTTTGTTTTGAAAATAATCCCTCAAGAAAATCCTAGATCCCGCCCTGCCCCGATAATTTAAATGTAATTGCAAAACTTTATACAGAATTTTGAGTTAATGCAATGGCATTTTGGCATGGCATCTTTAATTATGACACCCTCTGATCGTAGTAAAGCTCTTTTTACGACTCAAGGTCGTTTTTTTTTGCGTCGAGAACTTTTACGTGGTACCACTATTGCAGCCAAAATTGGTCAGGCTCTGGTAGACTTGAAGCTTAAGGTTGTCCGCACACACAATCATTTCCATGACAGGGGATCGATTACACAATCTGCCGCTCTTGAATCGAACGCCTTGCCATGCTAATTGGAAATGCCTAAGCGGAAAGATTTGGACAACCTACCAATTGATGGAACGAGTGACACTCTGGCGGTCGCATTCTATGCTTCCTCTCCGCCAGGCGAGAGCACCTATAACAAGAAGTGAATCGGTTTCTAATTAAGTAGCACAGAATGTTCTGACCACAGTTATCTTTGAAAAAAGCTAAAATTTTTCAATAAATTTTCAATTTCAAATTCAAGAAATTTTCTTTTTCGAAATCAAAAATTTTTCATTTTCAAGTTCAAGAAATGTTCATTTTCAAATTCAATTTTTTTTATGTGGACGTTTTAACGAGTTGGAACAATATATTTTGAAAATTATTGACTTTCTGTTCATTATCGTTAGAATAGGATTTTGCGACTGAATGATCCATGACTTCATGCAATGTTTCTGCATTGCATGTGAGAATGCTTTCAAGTACAAAATGCTTTGCTGACCTCTCCATCTTCTGCGTGTATTCCTTCTTTCTCAGTCGCAAATCCATGGGCTCGCTGTTACACGTGCAGTCCTGTTTGTTCATCACTACCACGAACACTAAGTTGGTGTTCTCTATCGACTGGAACAGGTAGTCTCTGAAATACAAAAAGAAATGATGAATAAAAAAGACACTATGAATGAATAATGTTTAGGTAATTTTAATCTCAAAAAGGGAAATGAAAATCAAAACAAGAGAAAAACACAGTTCTAGAGGTTTACAGCGCTTCCGATTACAGCTAGTTTAATACCTTAGTAGATCTGCATATTACTAACAGGGGGGGGGGGGGGGGGGGGTGGGGTTAGGGTTAGGGTTCCAATAAACTGCTTTCTAAACTCGTCAAAAACCTAGAAATCTAGACTAATTTCATTTGAGACTTATATTACATGACATATCGGAGATCTCGGAAAATCAAATTGGTCAACCTAAAAAAAAGGTCAGCAAAATTTTTCAAAAAACCGAAACCCCCCCCCCCCCCCCAGAAAAAGTTCTGCGCACGTCACTGATTTGTGACCTTGATAATTATTACAAGTCACTGTTAACTATGCACATAGATATAATATGTTCAAGATTACTGCATGTAATTTACCACAATGGTACTAACCGCATACACTTGTCCTCGCTGGTCTTGGAGCCAGTATGACATGGAAAACTATTAGCATCTGGCTTCTTCCTCGGCTGTTTGAAGTCCCGCAGGAACACAGTCTTCTCCATATCACATGGACTGTAAATGTGTTCCATCAACTGGTCCATAGTTTCTTAAAAGGAAATGAAAATGTTCTGCCATCAGCTAAGGTCCACTTGTCGAGTTGAGATCATAGTTTGAAAACATAGACATGTAGAGGCCATCTACTATTATAATCGTGTATAACTATTAAAAAAACAGTTGCCGGCTTTTAGCAGTTTTCAACAATAAGGCTATCGCTGAAAACTGTTGAAAGCAGCTGCTTTTTCTCAATAGTTGATAGATAGATGACTATTAGTGGGCCTTTATATGTCTGACCTTTTGCGCTTGAGTCTATTTTTTTCAGAAAGCCTGTATACTTCTACTAAATTTCTGTAGTTAGCCAAGTAAAATTGGCGTTTCTTTCGCGCTGTTGGCATCTCTCAAAATCAACCTCAAATTCTTCTGATTGCATCTTAAAATGATGTAAAAAGCAAATTCAACTTAAAAAGATCAATCCAGGTTTTTTTCGGATTCTTAAAAACTGGTCAGCTTACTTTCGGCAGCTACAATGTTGTCGAATGCATCCCAGGGGGAGAGAAGGGAGAGGAAGTTGAGAGAGAAGCAGTTTAGCATCAGCTGGAGGAACATGTTCAGCAGGAAGGAAGACACGCCGAACACATTACTCAACACCTGGAAACAATCATCAGGTCTAACTAACTAGTAGCCCCCATGTTAACTAGTAAAAACGAATGACCTTGTAACAAAAGTCCTATAACGAAATGTTTCAATGGTAGTTTGGGTGTACTAAAAATGTTGTATCTAGTAGCGAGCTCTTCTTCTTTTGCAGGGGGTGGGGGCATTTTGGTAATCACCAATTAAAGAGATGCCAAGCATTCTGTCACCGGAATGGTTGAAGCTTGAAACGCTGGAAAGTAATAACAATAAGATTTAATTAAAATTGGCTCGGTGATATGCCACATTTTTTCCTTAAAATTTTAGTTAACATAGTCCTAAAATACCAAACGAGTGGGGAAATGCTGTTTACGACCAATAAAAAAATGAAATCATCTAAATTTTTAATCACGGTTTATACTGTGGAGTAAATTTCTAGAGATTCTAATGACGAATAAAATTTGTTTGGGCTAATTCAACGAGAGACGAAGTCTCGAGTAAAAAATAAAGCTCCAGTGGCTAGAAGTGTGGACTATGAAAATTTTGGTGCCCAATCTGGTATAAACAAGCTACGTTTTGAGACAAATTATGGGTTGTATTTGGGGGAGAAGGGGGGGGGGGGGACTTTTGAAAAACATGTGCTTGTTTGGTACCTGGTTGGCTGCAAATGATTGACGACTGTGTAAAGTGTTCGATGCACTCTTTGTCTTCTTTTCCACCTTCTCACTCACACACATTCCCTGCATGTCCTTCAACACCATCCTAACATAAAGGTCACGAAGGTCAATCAAAGGTCAAAGTCATAAAAATATAAACACTATATGTACATGCATTACACCACTGTAGAGGTCGATACAAAACATTCAAAAGGCGTGGGTGTTTGGAAAAACTTGCGTAAGTTCGTTCCGGTCGGAAACTCTTTCCGGTCGGAAATTGTTTCCCATTTCTCCCGAACCACATTAAGAGCCCTCAAATTTACTGTTATTGGCGTCAAAGGTGCCTTTGGACCAAAAATGGATGTCATCGTTGGGTGGCCAAGGGTAGAATCGTTGATGGGAGTTTGAATCATTGTTTCTGAATTGTATCATAATTTGATACTTCCAGTTGAAAAAAAAAGAGAATGCGTGAAATTAGAAGGCGAGTTAGAGTCATTCTACGTTAGTGAAAAAAGAGATCATTACTTCATTTCTTTACAGAGAGTCGTCGGTTGCTAAAAAATAACTCAAAATATTTCGAACACAGTTATAAAATTTATAAAAATTAAACATAGAAAACAGAATCTTAAAAAGGTTCTATTTCGTAAAAAAAATATTCTGAAAATTTATTGTAGAAAAATTTCTTAAATTTTCTGGTAATGAAAGTAATACAATTAATCCAAAAGGTCGATGAAAAAACATCTTAATTTGGGTGGCTAAATACAATTTGAGAGTGCCTAAAAGCGTAATTTTATAAGCACACATTTTTCCCAACCCCAATTTTAGATTAAACAAAAGAAAATAAAAGAATCACAATTTTAGAGTTCTTGTTGTTTTTAAGGCAAAATGATTGACCCACAGACATGATATTAGATTTTAAATTAGACCAATCAATGAACATTTTATTTATTCAAAACAAGCATAGCCGGTTACTGTGCACATAGCACAGAATCTTCCGACCATAGTCTTAGAAAAAACAAAAATGTTTTTTTTTTCAAATAACTGTCGTTTTGTTTTGGCGTGTTGTGATATAAAGATTTGAAAAAAAACTAGATATCATGCATATTCAACAGTCATACTAATTTGGGAAACTGAAAAACAATTTTTGAAGAAAACTGCCTGGAAAACTGAACAAAAAAACCTAAGAAAAAATTCAAAAAAACAAATTTTCAATTTTTTGTTTACATTTTTATGAAGTTTTGAGTCTTTTGTTTAAAAAAGGCATTCAAACACTCAAAAAAGATGTTTTACAGTTTAAATTAAGCTATTTTAAACTTTTAACGCTTTAAAACAATGGAACCTGATATAAACTATATTTTATGATTGGATAAATTAGATATTTTACCACTGTAAAGTATTTAATATTAACCAATCATGATCCATCTAACTAACAACCCACTTATTTGTAAGTGCTGAAATTACTTGTAATTTCAGCACCAGAGAGATTTGAATTTAACTTACAAATTAGTTGTCTCTCCAAGAGAACTTCAGCAGCCGCAATAAACCAGTATACTCTAGATCTATTGAGCCTAGCAGAGACTAGTTAAACACCCTGAGACTAGAAATTATAAGAGTAAGATTAGGATCGTATTAGACTAAGAAGTTGCACGAATCTATCCGGCCGAAAATAAGATAGCGTGAGGAGCAGACGGTGTACCCTATCCGAAATTACTCTATGAGTTAACCACACAGGAAATAACTCATCTGGTGCGACCATAAGTCTCGAATAAGACCTTAATAGCTTAGATTTGACCAAAAATAGATTAGAATTTAGACAAAACTTTTTTAAAATGTTATACGATGATAATTTAATCGAAATGTCTCTACGACTCAATAGATCAGAGCCGATATTCCGAACGATAACAGAACTACCCGGAATCGTAAGAAGACCTCGAACAAGAGACGACATACGACAAAGTAGAAACTTACCATATAGTTATATGATTGTACGGCAAAAGCCAACACAAACTTTTATATTTTGAATCTTATTAGCAATGAATTTAGATTTTCATTTGCAAACATAAAATCTTGAAGTCAATCTTCATAATCATTTCAGGCGCTAAGCAAAATTATTAATATACAATAACGATTGATAAAAAGATCCCAGATCGTTTTCTTAAATTCTGCAGTCTTATATAAAACATGTTTGAAAAATATTTATTGATAATCAAAACAAAAATTAGTAGCATGACAATAAATTGTTAGTAATCATAAAATCATCTGTTGTCCCAGCTTCATCACCTAAACATAACAGCAATCATAAGCTCACTAATATCATTAAAAAAACTAAATCTTTTTCTTAAATAAATTTAAACCATTTTAAACTTAAATTCATTTAATTTTAAAAATCAGATCATCAAGGCTTATCCTTGGATCTTAATTAATTTCCTATTTCACTAAATTCAAAAACCTGATCATCAAGGCCTAACCTTGGATCAAAAAGAACATTTTTGTTCTCCCCCACCCACTTAGCAAGTGTCTAACGACCTCAAACGTCGATTCACTATCCAACTCTTCCAAAGATCCCAAGACTAATAGAAATTTTTCAACAAAACTAATCAATCAAATTAGGATAAACAGTGAAGAACTTCGGTTATTCATCCTTCACTTGAACCCTCCTCTTACCAGACCCAGGATAAATCTTAGACTTAGTAAGTTTAAATTAGTATCTAAAGAACTACTCGCGTTCTAATTATACCTGAACCTTGTGGATCGATTTACTATTCTCCAACCCTTGAACACAATCACTACCCCTAAGTAAGATTAAGTAAGTTAACACCTTAGCTTATACTAGCCACGAGAAAGTAAAAAATCATTCTTCGGAATCGAAATACTTTTCTCTCCAACCCTGAACAAATAGACCCAGGTTAAGCTAACCAAAAAATCGTAAGGACTAACAGTTTAAGAAAGTAGACATCATCTAACAACTTTTTGCTTCCCTCATCCTAAACCTTAAGTCATTCAAAAATCTAGGAAATAAACAAACACTCGTTTTACCCAACTGTGAAATAGATAACAAAAAATACGATCTTGTAATCACACCTCATACACAAACAGTTGGATATATTAGAACAAAACGGCTAACAATAAAAAGAAAAATCATAAACAAACAAAGACAAATCACACGAAAAAGGTTTTCAAAAAATAGAAACGCATTTTCAGAATCAGAAGCCAGCAATTTAGATGAACGCTATAAATTAAAAGAATCGATTGATAAAAATTGTCCCATTCACGATCAATTATATTTTTCCGACTCAGAAAAAACTTCAAATTCATCAAAAAGAGGAAAAAGAAGAATAAAAAAGCAATATAAACACAAACCAGTACACTTGTATAATTGGAATCAACCAATTAGACACATCGATAGTTATATATTAACAGTCATTAAACAAAAAAATGAGCCACAGCCATACTCAAAGTGACGATAGTCCAGATGACGAAGAGGTTTACCCCTTCCTCATAGATGCACCCGATAATAGAGGGCAGCATGACTTTAGCAAGAATTTACTCCTAAATTTGTTTGAACCCGGAATCAGCCCATGCAAAGCAGAATTCCCAGATGTAAAAATCAAAAGACAATTTATTGAACATTATCTGAAAAATATATGTAATTTAACACAACAATACGGAATCTACACCATAGAATTCAGCACACCAAATTCGAACCACCGTAAATATGTAATTCAAACAGACGATCTTGAATTAGAATTTTCAAAAGTATTCTTAGAATATATTAAAAGCATACAATATCATAACTCACAAAGAGCAAACTCCATATTTACTAACAAAGTTTTTGCAACAATATACAGCTATATTTCAATATTAGAAAAAACAGAATTTCAAAGTATCTCACCAACTGAGACATCCAAACATATAAAAGTACGACATGAAATCACACTATTTTCAACCTTTCTACATATAATCAAAGAAAATTTCACTAAAGACGAGGTTTCACGACACACAAAACATGACTTACAAAAATGTTGGCATGGTTTATAATAGATTATTTCACACATAATATAGACTTAATTTCACAAGCAAGAAAAAATTTCAAACCTCAAAATCCAAACAATGATACTGCCATCACAGAACAGTCAGACTACGTTTGGGACCCTGAATGGTCTCATCATGCATTTATAAATATACCACAATCAATCTCAAGTCAAACAATAAGTACAATATCTTACCAAAGAGATTATGTGAAAGTAGTACCACTAACCATTGATGCAACACCATTAAACTACAATACATTTTTACCTGATACGCGAAATAACAGTTTAAATTCGGCCGTCATACACAATGAAAACCTTAATGGAACTAGAAATCTTACACAACCAGATATCCAAACACCATCACACTTCATAAATGAAGAAATTGTCCAAACAACAACAACTACACAACAAAGTATTTCACCAATACATCCAAATTTAACAACACCAAAAAATGCACATACTTCATTGGCACAAGTAACCTTACAATCAACCGTTAAACCTTCGGTTGCTCCAAAATATTCACATATGGATTACCAAACATATAGACCTATGACAGTACCGTCAAAAACACGAAGAACGTTCACAAGAAACACTTTTGCAGAACACAATTATAATTATGCACATCCATCAAAAACAAACTATCCCCCACGAAAAAATAATAATAATCAGATAAGATCTCGATATTGGGATAACCCAATGACAACAACCAACTCAGTAAATTTTCAAACTAATTCACATCCTCCACAGGATCGTAGTGAAAATTACCCATTCTTTCAACAAAATAAAAATAAAAAGCAAGCACCTCATCATACGGATTATTTATCATCTGATGATGATTATTTACAACCAGATATTTTTGCACCGTATACCCAAGAATATCGTGGAGTACAAAAACCTTATACAAATAATAGAATTTTTTCCCCAAATCCAACAGATACTTGAAATCAACAACCGATACAAATGCAAAATCCAACTAATACACAATCTTTTCAACCAATTCAACCACAAAACCCAATGATTACACACTCGTATCAACCAACTCAAATGCAAAATGAAATACCACTCCCATATTACC